ACTCAACAAACTTTCACTTAACATAGATAAACCAGCATATATGGAATTCGAAAACAATGTAAACAGTACACCAACGAATTTAAATATAGAAATTCAAAATAACCCAATACATCGAGTAGAAAACACTAAATATCTAAGAATTACTTTTGACTGTAACATGAAATGGAACTTGCACTTGCAAAATTTATACAAAAAAACCAAGTACTTAACATATTTTCTACAAACTATCAAAAATAATGAACATTGCTACACTCACAATGATATACTATGCACTTTTCCACAGTTTTATGTTATATGGAATAATAGATTGGCGAGGAGCATATTCAGGTAGAATTAAAACAATTCGAAAACTACAAACCAGATTACTGAAAATTATAAATAAAAATACATTTGTGGTAGATTAATACCCACTCAACTTAGACCAAAGCTTCTCTTTGGAATCTTTACTATTCCACTATAATAAATTTAGCAAAAAATTTAGTGAAAAAGTGAAAAGAACCAGATACACTAAACTATAACACTCAAAAAGGACACTTACGAGTATAAAAAATAGTTACACAAGAGCAATTATGCTATTCAATAAGCAAACAATAGAAGCAACGATCTGAAAACAATAGAGAACTTATACACAAGGAAAAAACAACTCAAAAAATGAATCAAAACAAACCCATCATGGATCAAGTGTCGCGGTCGAGAGCCATAGGCGAGTACGCACGAAGTGGCCACAACGACTGCTGACCGGCCACAACATTCTATACAGTAAAATAGAGAAAAGTCAGATTTGTCGAACAGAATATATCTATTTCTTCATGCGTATCGATTTCTTAATATGGTATATAGCTTAAAAAATCTAGATTCGCTTCTATTATTTGAAAAAAGATTTACTTCGATAGCTTTTGATTTGAGAAAGTTATTTGAGTTTGAAGTTTTGAGTAATGTTGCTTTTCCGCTATTTTAAGATTCTTCTAACGCTTTGTTTTATTTTTATACGTATCTACGTCTTTTATTTTATGTCTACTACTCTTGTACAAAATAATTTATGATATAATCAATAAATAACAACGCATAATGACACAACAACCACTTATAGTTGATGATATAATTATTCTATCTAATAGTATAATAATTCCATGTATACGAGTATAATATATTATATATAATATTATTCGTTATATATAAATTAAGATTATGAAATATGAATGGACTTTATTCCAAAAAACTCGTAATGATAAATTTTCCGAAAATCTCGGCCTTGGAAAATAAGCTTAAATTTTTAAGGTTTCTTTATGTAACAGGTATGAATTTCACTAGTAGAACAATCAAAATCACCTGATGCAAAATCTGTATGGAAAATGTCACGAAATACTTTCCGATGGAACAGAGTGTAAGACTCTGGATTAATCGATTGCAAAAGCAAAAAATAGGTTATTTTACAGGTTATGTTCCTGATATTTTTCTTCAGTGATTCTATTTTCTTCTTTCCATAGTATTCCACGTATTTTTATGCAGTAATAATAAATTAGCATTTGAGAAATACGTGACTTCACAAAAAACTGACTTTTTTAGCGTTTAATCGAATTTTACGGGAAAAAGAAAATTCGCAGGCACTAGTTTACCCTGGATTCATATCTGGTGGACTGAAATATATGATCAAAACTGTTTTCATTAATAAATATACCTACGTTATAAAAATATTATCAAATATATAACTAGTTTAGCAGAGGTATGTAGTTTTCCCAATTTTTCCTGCTATTAGAAAAAAAAAAATTCGACTTTTCTTTTATCTTTCCTCTATTCCACGTAACGTCAACTATCACCAGTTAAATTTGTATTCAAAGCGGTCACCCTTCCTTGAGATACTAGGTTTACGAACAAAAAAAACTTTTTTTCGCTGTGTGCGACGGCTATCTAGGACACAAAATAAGTGACAATATTTTTCCATTTATTATACCCCTCAAGTTTTAACTAAACCTAAAATCAACTATAGCATAATCGAAAAAGAACTTTTGTCAATAGTTTGCTGTATCGAGAAATTCCGTTATTATCACTTCGGTCAAGAATTGATCGTTGCAACGAACTATTAACCTCTCATTTAGTTTCCAATACTAGGCTTAAACATTGGTACTATATAATTTTGTAATAGTATTATTTAATTTTTTATTAGATAATTAAATTGAAAAATGCTGATCATATTAGTACTCTTTTAACCACCACCAACGTACGGCCTTTCGGTGTGGCATCGGCCAGCCAAACGTGACAACTGTTTATTTCGTGAATGTTGGATCCTGTGACTTTTAAGACATGAAACCAGTCCCAACTCCCGTTTACATTTAGCTTCTACAAATCATCGAATACGAAAAGGTATATATACGTCAATATAAAATTTGTCAAAATCTAATGGCCCAGAGATGCGATGTATTTCATCATAACTTTAACGTGAACGAAGGAGTCGAAAACACCATCAAAAGGCTATTCTTCGATAAATATTTCGATCCGAAAACGGAAAGCGTTCTAGAACAATGTGCGAATTTTTTCTAACCGTTTGATGTTTGATATTTTGCTCGAAAGCTATAGGCTTTGGAAAAAAATTGATAAGAACAAAAAGTTTGATAAATAGCCAAAAACTACTTCGAATTTTTTGATAAATTTTTTAGAAATATCTATTTAGTGGTTTTTCAATCATCAAAAATTTCCTCCGAAAAATTTGAACAATTTTGAGAGTACTCTTTTCTAAATTTTCAAGACATTTTTTTTCTATAAAACTTTTTCGTAAACCTCATATTTTTTTAAAAAACTAATGGTAACGAGAAACAAATTTTTTTGCAGGTTTTTGCATTTTATCCATCATTTTGGAAAGAAACACATATATAAAAATTTTTTGTTAAAGTTCAATAATTTTGTACACGATGGTTGAAGAAAGATTTGAATATTGATTGTAACGGGGGATGTTATCTGAAAAATGGAAAATTTATATAAGAACAAATTCCCACGATGCAGAGCAAACCGCCGCTCCGTTAAACACGTATGATAGTACGTGTATTCGCCTTAACATCAGATGATTTATCCTAGTTGTCTTCTGTTAAACGGAGTTGAACTCACCTTAAGTCACGTGTCTTGTAACACTCGTTGAGTTTTAAGTGTGAGCGACTTTACTCCTAATCTTCTTGATCCCCTAGATGTAATTGGATTAAAACCTAAGTCTTTTTCAATTATTTAAGCTACTAGGAAAATTAAATTACGAAAACGGCGAATAAATTTCACAGACTTTAATTAATAAAAATTACTACAGTCTTTGTAGGGCCGAAAGACTAACGCACGCAAATAGGATTTTACAATTAGTTATATTCGGTGAGAAAGAGAGAGAGAGAAGATTCGAATTATACCGCGAACTAACGCTCGACGCGAATACAAAAAATAACGCTATCACGAATATACAAAATACCGAATGTATTTTGTATCGCTTAATATGACGGAAGGTGCACCTACCATGCGGTACAATTACGGTGATCAGCCGTAATTGTTGGTGCAAAAAAATATCAATGCCGCTGCGCCTTGATTATCAGCTGCTCTGCCTTGTACTTCCTCTATCAGCTGTAATCTGCTGCTTCTGTACCGCTGCTTGCTGCTGCAATATCGTCGTTACACACCCGCACGTATTTATCTCAGAGAAACTTTATTTTTGGCGAAACAAAGTGCAAAACACTATTCGGCGGTAAACTCGTGTGAACAGCTGAGGCGTAACTGCCTATTCAAATGATCGCGCGCCCCCTCTCTCTCTTAACTATTAGAACTAACGCACGAGAAGTAGAATCGCGAACGGTTCGATTAATTAACTCGACTACCGTAGCATGATATATTTTATATTAAAAAAAAATTGATAAAAAAATTTTTGGATAGTTCACTTTTTTTTGTAAAAAGACCCGTCATATTTAATTTTGCAAGAAAACTTTTTGAATTTTGAGCACGGATTCATTTCTCTGACCGTTTGGATTAGCAGGTCGTGCACCCCCTCATAGTAGTTTGTGTTGTGCTGCATTATCTTCATCACCGTGTCTTTGTTTCTCCACTGTTGTTCCAATTGATGGTCAGACACCTTGTACTCCCTCCACGTAGTCTCAGAACTTGTCTTTTTTCTCAGTACATAGTATGCATCTTGGTGATTTGATGAATTCGGTATCCAGTTACACCATCTGTGTTCAGTTCCACCGCATTTAATGCAGAGATCCGATCTGTCGATTTCGCTTTTGCAGGGTTTCGCGATACGGCTCGTGTACTAACACCAGTAGCTTTACTGTAGTCTAAGCACTTCTTTTACTCTGCAACTTCGAGGCCTATACAGATTTTCCCTCTATCTCCAACAATCTTTCGTACAATCTCAGTAAGAAGCATGAAGATGGCTCGATTAGTTAATCAATTTTATCTCTAAGTCGATCGAGCTTTGTCTTTTTCTGCGTAATGCAGGCCTTTCGCTGCTCATTTTTGACGTTAATTACGTCTACTTCTATTTTATCCTGAGTTTGGTTCTCACAAAAAAAAAACGTGGACTTGGCGATCGGAATCATCGGTGGGATTCTCGGTAATGCTGGTACCCACTTGGGGTAGTGTTATTGTGAACTCACTATCTATCTTTGGTTTATCTTCGGGGTTTCTTCTCCTACTCTAGTTTTAGTTCACCCCGTGTATTTGATTTATCCGGTACTCTCCATATCTAACAAGCACTCTCCTATCCACCTCCTGAAGAGGCGCCCAGTAGGGGAACCAGTAATATCCTTGAGTGTGTTAGTGCGTGTGTTTGTGTATGTGCGTGCGTATATAGGTGTGTGCGCGCGTGGGTAGTTGTGGGTGTCATCGGATTAAAATATTTTTGAGGAGCATATTATACACGCGTCCGCGCGCACGCACGAAGATAAAATCCGTTACCATAAAATAATGATGCTTCAAATATAACATTATTGATGTTAGTAAATAATAACGAGAACATGGGCGTTATCAACTTGCAGAGACCTGAGACCGGCAAGCCTGGAAAAGGGCCAAGAGCTACTAAGACTACGCTTCTATGGAGCATACGCTTGGGGTGGACCGCTCGTTGTTGCCGGCCTCGCCGCCTTTCTCGACCATCTCCCCCGGTTACCTGGACAAAGCTTTCTTAGGCCACGTTTTGGAGAGAAGCAGTGCTGGTTTTATGGTATGCAAAGTAACTTTATTCTATAACAAACTTATTTTTTTAAATGTTATGTACATGCAATCCGGTCATAAAATTCCAAAAATTTTGTGGAAGAAAAGCCATTCTTCAAACAAAAATATTCCCGATTCTATTGATCATAGAATGAAAATAAAACAAGGCAAATTTAAGTAGAGATAAAATACTATGGGATGCGAAAATGTTTAAAGTGATTTTTTCTATTTTTATATTACTTTAAAAAGTGTCAATTTTCTAAAATTTTTTAATTTCTTTAATCAATTATATTTTTGAAAATGTCGGTGACAGGTAAAAAACTTCGATAGAGATCGATAGATCTTGAAAAAACCTAAAATTTAACACTTACGGTCTTTTTCACTACTATGAATTTTAACTAATAAATCTCCATTTCTTGATACTAGCATTCTTAAAAACCTATAACATAAAAAAGATTGAATTCAAAAATCCATTAAATTTTATATTTTTTATAACTTCAATCTAGTCTCGATATTTCTAACTGTTGATTTAAATTTCGAAACATTGAAACTTCTAACTCCTATATACAATATTTCGAAACTTTAATTAATTGAGATAGTCTTCTGAATATTTAAGAAATAAGTTCTTTTCATTCTAATTTCGTCATTTTATTAATCGTCATCAAATTATTTAAGAGTGGGTTCGAAGTATAGTAGTGCGCTTTAATCGTGAAGATTCCGTTTGGTGATGGATTCACAGACATACAAATGAGAGATGAAGGGATCAAGAAATACAATAACATTCGAATACAATGAGAGATACAGTCGAAATCCAACACTATTTCTGATGTAACAACATTATAATAGTCTTGCGTGACAATGAAACGTTACGATCAACTTCCGCGCATGCTCTATTGCAGCAATTCGCACTACTGCACAGCAGCTATCATTGTAAAACCACGCGAAAATCGGTTATTAAACTAAGCATCGCTTGGTGATACCCCATTCGCTGTTCCATCGCCACCCCGCCTGTTGACAACCTAGCAGATCTGGCTTCCACTAAGAACAAAGCCTACGCTTTGGACGGGGAAACTATCGGCACTCGAGTCTCTTCTTTCAAATACATTCAAATTTATTTTAAACACCTAACAAATACATTTTTCGGTGCAACACGTGATCGTTCGCGGCTTCCGCATACGACAACACAGCCGAGTGATAATTAAGGTAACAATAAAAATGGAACTAGTCCCGCAGTTTTTAATATTTCAGGCTCAAAATTTGTTTACAGATTTTTTGAATGATTCTTTGAATGAATAACATTACGTATGGATTAAGCTGTAGCTGGTATAGGTCAAAAATTAAAAATTTAAAACAAAAATTTTTTTTTTAAATATAGAAAAAAATTTTTTAGATTTTTTTAGAATGCACCATTGAATTCCTCCTGAAATTTTACATATAAAACCATATCAATCACTCCCACATCAATAAATTATCACCAGGCTGGAATTTCACTTAGAGCTTCCCTAATAAACAGAAAAATCGTTAAACAAATGAAATATTGAGCATCAAAACTATTACAATACAAGCAAAAACAGTAAAATGATTTTTATATACAATATCATAAAAATCAAATTAGATTAACTAAGAAAAATGAATATACCATAAATAGAGCAAATAGATGAGAATTTCGCAAATCAAACTAGCAAGATGAGTGACAGTAATTTATTTCTGTTTTTGAAAATTATTGAAATGAGCTTGCAAGATCAAAATAAAATTTTTATCTGAATTAAAAAACGAGAAATCATATTCTAATTTTTTCTAATTTTTAATTTTAATTTTTAATTTTTTCTAATAATTCAAACTTGATATCTGGTGAACACAAGAAATTGTGATAAAGGGCATATTTCATCCCTAGATGAACTGAACAAAGTCGACTAAGTATGAGTTTAATGTGCAAAAAGAAACCAAAAAGAAAATATTATAAAATTACAGGTTAAATCGGAAGTGATATCAAAAAGTTATTTCCGAATTTCAATGAAAATAATTCATGCTTACTTCTGTAGTGTGTAATGTATGTCGGCTACAAATTACGAAAACTAATGCAAATGCAGGGTTAAAAAGTTCACTCAAAACGCCAGATTATTCATGATATCATTTCAACAGGACAGCTCATAGTACTTCTAAATCGGATATAGATTGTGAGTACAATTGATGTATCAAAATCAGATATCGACAAGGGCATACCGAGAAATTTAATAGTGAAAGAAATATCATGTCAAAACTGTTAGAGAACAAAAAACGTTGTTCAAAGTGTTTTACTGTAATAGCTAAAAATGTTAGACATAATTGAAATTCAACTACATTACTAGAAAATATTAATAAAAGAATTAAAAAGCCAAAAATGAGCATTTGACTCCCAAATTATTGAAAAGAAAAATAGTCGATGATAAATTGGCAATCAAATCTAGAAATGCAAATATTGAAGTATCCTTATTTTAACAACCGTAACGGGGTGGATTAGCTAGTACAATAAGAATTTATTAAAGCACAAATTCCCACGATGCAGAGCTAAACGCCGCTCCGTTAAACACGTATAAGTATACGTGTATTCGCCTTTACGTTTAATACTTTCGTTTCAGTGTATTCTTTCCAACAGAGTTGAACTCACCTTAAGTCACCTGACTTGTGACACTCGATCTATCTTTGGTGTGAGTGACCTAATACTTATTCCACCTAATCCCCTAGATGAAATCGACTTAAAATTTAATCCGTAATAGATCCGTTAAACTAATAGGAAACGAAAATGACGTAATGCGATGAATAAAATTATTCACGTTTAATTTAAATAAACTACAGTCTTTTACGGACCGAAAGACTAACACACGCGAATAGGATTTTACAATAATTAATAATAATACGGGGAGAGAGAGAGAGAGAATTCGAAACTTTGCCGCGAAAACTAACGCTCGGCACGAATACAAAAAAATAACGATCGTGATAGACAAAATACTCTCGCTAGTATTTTGTCGCGCAATAAAAGGGAGGTACACCTACCCTGCAGTGCAATTACGGTGATCAGCCGTAATTGTTTATCCAGCAAAATCAGTGGTGCTCTGCGGGAACAGGCTGCGCTGTCTCACTCGAAATATCTGCTGTTGCTCTGCTGCTATAATTGCTGCTACTGTAATGCTGCTACTGTGATGCTTCCTCGCTAACATTCGCACGTATCAAAAATCCAAGTAAACTTTTTATTATGGAAAACGGAGGAACACTGTGCAAAACTATTTGGCGGTACTATTCAAGTAACAGCTGAGGCTTAACTGAAACTTTTAAACTCTCGCGCTCTCTCTCTCTCTCTCTCTCTCTCTCTCTTAGTCGTTCGCTCTAGCGTCGCGAGTATTACCGTATCGCGAACGGATCGATTAATTGAATCGACTACCGTTGCACAACATAATATCCCGTTAAATATTACTGTTAATCTAGAACAAAAATGTCGTCAAATATCATCCAATGATTTAATTGATTTGAAAATTAATGCGAATTTATCAGATCGTCAGTTCCATAAGTTTTCATCATTCATACGTCAGAAAACATGCTCTCAAAATATTATACGAGGTGTGTTCAAAAAGTAAGGTGACTTTGTATTTTTAAGAAAAAATATTTATTTATTTATCAAAATTTATGTTGTCCCCTTCAAAGTAATCCCCCTCAGATACAATACATTTATGCCAACGGTTTTTCCAATCCTCAAAGCACTTCTCATAAGCACTTTTCGGTGTAGCCTTGAGCTCTTCCACCGATGCAGTCTTTATCTCTTCAATCGTTGCAAATCTCCGTCCTTTCATAGGTCTCTTTAGTTTTGGGAACAAGAAAAAGTCACATGGGGCCAAATCCGGTGAATATGGTGGCTGAGGCATGATTGTGGTGTTGTTTTTGGCCAAAAAATCTCTCACAAGCAAAGATGAGTGAGCAGGGGCATTATCGTGATACAAAAGCCATGAATTGTTTTTCCACAATTCTGGGCGTTTTCTTCGTATTGCTTCTCGCAAACGGCGCATAACTTCAAGATAATACTGTTTATTGACCGTACGTCCATATGGTAAGAACTCCTGATGCACCACGCCATGGTAATCGAAGAAAACAGTGAGCAAAACTTTGACATTTGATCGAACTTGGCGTTCTTTTTTCGGTCTTGGCTCATCTGGGCGCTTCCATTGGGACGATTGGACTTTGGTTTCGATATCATAACCATATACCCATGATTCGTCACCAGTTATGACCCTTTTGATTAAATCTGGGTCGTCGTTGACGTCATTCAACAGTTCTTGAGCGATGCTCATGCGACGGTTCTTTTGGTCAAAATTTAGCAATTTCGGAACAAACTTCGCTGACACACGTCTCATGCCCAAAACGTTAGAAAAAATTTCATGGCACGAGCCAAGCGATATACCAACATCCTCTGCAACTTCTCTGATAGTGATTCGACGATTTTCCAGAACAATTTTCTTCACTGCTTGAACGTTTTCATCAGTTGTTGACGTGCTTGGGCGTCCAGAGCGAGGCTCGTCATTGGCATCTTCCTGGCCATCTTGGAAGAGTTTGTACCACTTGTAAACATTTTTTTTACTCAGAACAGTTTCACCGTATGCCACCGTCAATATTTCAAGTGTTTCGAGCACTTTATTTTATTTTTTACACAAAATTTGATGCAAATCCTTTGATCCATATTTTTCGATAACAAGAAATCGCCGAGCACGCAAAACACTTACAACCTTTACGCCTCTCACAACCAAACAAAAAATGCTATACACTTGAAATTTGGTACAGTTGTTCGGGAAGAGTGTACCAACATAACAAAACAAAAATATCGATAATCGAAAGTACGTTGCCCGTCAAATTTGAAAAGTCACCTTACTTTTTGAATACACCTCGTATAAACGCATGCTCATGAAGCAATCGTTTGAAAATCTCACGATTTGAATACATTTTTTGAACTATGTTCATTTGATTTTGAAATTATACAAAATAACT